CCATTTCTGAGGCAACTATTACCTCTCCATAATTCAATGGATCAATAAGGGAACTAAGCAGAAATGTTATTTCACTTTCCTTGAGGCAGTGTTACAGCTCAGCACAGCTGCTCTTGCTCTGTTAACTCATGAACTTGGAGCAGCTCCTTGCTTCCCATGATGGCTGAGAAGACGTCAAATGAAAAGACTCAAAAAATGAAAGACCAGCACCAGCAGGACTGTCAGAGAGGTTAAGTATAAACTGCTTGCTTCTRGCAAACTTGAATTTCATTTCCACYTWATCTCAGGAAAAAGGAAAAAAATTCTCACAAGCAACTTCTACAGTACCTAGACTGACTATCCAGCTGTGACTGTCCTAAACATACTTTGCAAGATCACCTTTGCAAGTCGCAATGCTGGGTTACACAACCTGGTGAACCAATCAATCATCACAATACTTCTTACTTCTTTACTTAAGGCTAAGCTGGAGCCATAAGGTTTAGGGATGGGCCTGAAGCAAACTGAAAGGCAGCCACAGCTGCTGCCCTTCTCCTTGCTGCAGTAAGGGGGTCTTGGTCCTTGGCTGCTGCCACTTGAGGGTTTTTAACTCTTCAGATCCCTGAACATCAGGAAGCTGGAGCATGGCCATTTTGCCCTATCCAGAGGTGAGATTCTCAATCCTCCTCCTCTCAGCCACCCCTGGCACTGCTGCACTAGGTAGGCGACTGGGATACAGTTTTCTGTAAGAAAGACTGCAGCTACCAGTGTTTACATKGCCTCTCAAGGACGTTGCTCAGTCTTGCCTCACATCTGTGCTGCTTGTAACACCACACTGGCAAAAGTGGTAAGGACTCTAAGGAAACTTCCAAGGTAATAACCTTGGGCCCATGCTCTTCTGCAATATCTCATCCATCAGTGTCCAAAAGCACATCCATATGTTTGCATAGCTGCACATATTATTTTTATAGTGGTGTCATAACCTTGAAGCCCTTCCTAGGAAGGCCCATTCATCGTCTGTCAACTGGCAGGTGTACTTGTAGGTGGCCTTGAGTCATCCAGACTGTAAAGCCAACTGGGCACCTTGAAACARCATTCCAAATTTGAAGTTTGTTAATTTCTGTCCTCAACCCTTAGACAAGGTCAACAGACAAACACGACAACAGACAAATAACATGAAATGTGCATCAGTCYTCAAAAGAAAAAAATCCTTACAAAGAAGAACACGCCAAGCACTTTTTGTTCCAACAGCCAAGTTACAGTGGAAAGCTGCTCCTCCTCAGTACCATCAGATTTTGTAAAGCCACTGCCACTGTCTATTCAGTCTCCAAGCTGACACAAGACTGCCCTTTCACTGCACTGATTTCTGCACTTCACTATATCTCCACCAGCCCATTGGCACAAATCTAAATACAGTAAGTGAAGTGGATATTCTATACATATCCTATATAAATAGCAATCAAGCACATGTTCTCTTATGATTACCCAGCTGCACTACCTATTATTWCAGACTGAATTCAAATAGGCTTCAAAAAACAAAGTTCAAACCTATAATTATCATTGTAAGGGAAAGCTGTGCTCAGAGCATTCTTTGTTACCCTTCTGCATTTTTCYCAACCTTTAGGCAACCACCCACATTGAAAATCTTCCCTGTTTAGAAAGGCTTGCAGAAATAAAAAGTGAGGAAGAGTACAGGCTTTTAACATCTAGTCCATTATGCCAGTAATACCAGGAAAGCCTCCTTTTCCTARGCTGGCATTTGCAAAAAAATGCAGAAGCTGTGAGAATATCCTGTTCTCCATAGTGTACTATTTCTCATCCTTTAAATACAAACACAGGAATTGCTTTTACTATTTCCACACCCRAAAAGACCATCTGGAGTGACATGTTTGCCTGTTTACCCCTGTTCTCCTTGCTGTAGTTTGCAGAGCCACTACTGACATTTTGAGTTGGCACTGCTATAGAAAGAGAGCAGGGCCTCTCTTTTTATGCCTGTGTCTCCATGCAACATGACACTATCATCTTCTGAAATTGGAATGTCCTCCTTCCAGAAAGTTAAACAATACAAATTTTTACTATTTTTTTATGAAGTAACTTTCCAAGTTTAACAAACTGTCAGCTGACTGAAGCTACACATTAGATTTTACCCTAAAAACAATCATATGAAAAGATGTCTACTTTTCATATTTTTATTAMAGAAAATATCAAATTAACAACAAAAAAGCAAAGTTCTTTTTAATACCTTACCAAACATTTCTCCTAATAGAAAGTAAGTACAGCTTCTAAGAAAAAGCACTACTCACATCTGAGTTTTGCAATTTTCTTTGTCCTATGGCAATAAATCCTTACTCATATGCTTAATTTTAGCTTCTTTATTTTCTTTCAGAGCCAGACATGTCCCCAACGCATTAATAAAATCTTCCAACCTTTGAATTTGACACAGCTTAGGACATTATTTACATGCTGCCAGCACAAAATTTAGGATTAACTAGAAAGGATTTAAAATTAAAAATTACTTTGAAAAATACAATTTCATTAATATTTTCTTTTAGCTTTAGGCAGAGTTCTATGTTTAAAGACATCACCTATACTAGAAGGACAGAACTATGCCACTTTATAACAGTTTTTCTCTTTTAATTATGCAAGGTATCCACAGTATTTTTAAACAAGCTGATCTATCCTTAATTCACTTTTTRTTTAGGCCTTATACTACACATTTTTTTTGAAATCTCAACTCAATTAACAAAATAAACTGCAATGAAAACCAAATGACCAGAGTACACAGAATATAAACAGCTTTTTAGAAATACAACTAGACAGCTCAGTCTGCAGGATGCATAATGAGTAATGAAGCAGAAGACAGCAATAAAGCAAGGCTACAAAAAAAAAATAGAGAAGATTCAACTTAGTATCTTTCCAGGTCAAGAATAACAAACTATTTAAATTCTACTGCACTGCCAAAGAAATATTGGTATCTTGCCTGATACAGACCTTTACAGTGGAGTTTTAAGTGTTGCAGACTATCTGCCCAGTTTGATGGGCATGCTCATCTCTAATGCCCTTTCAGGAGATTTGACTGAATAAAAACTTCCTGGGATAGAACTCCTCTATCAAATAAGAATTTAAGCTACTCAGAAAACATCCTGCTGAGCAGATGTCAAAAAAAAATCCCTCAAAACAAACAAAAGCCAAAACAAAACAAACCAACCAAAAAAACCCCAAACAAAACCCCAAAAATTTGTAAATTTTTTTCACTAATTTCATTAATCTATACACAGGGATTTCTTTTCTGGTAACCTCCCACATTACCACAGCATTTTGAAGCAATGGCTGTAAAGCCCAATTACAAGCTCCTCAATCTCAAGAAATTGCTATATATATACAACAACTCCAATGTATGTTGCATCAAAACATCTAATCCCATCAGTGCACAGAGCCATAACCTCCTCTTTCTCAGGTCTTCCAGCAAGACAGCTCTCAAGACAAAATTAAGGAAATTAATATGCCAAAAAATAGGCTATTATAGCTATCAATTTCCTTCCACTAAGCAGGAATCAGACATTTTTGCTTGGTGTGGTAGCTTTGCAAGCCAACTAATTCCGTTTACATAAAATTTCAACAGGAAAACCAAAGAATGACAAAATAATAATTTAAAACACAAAAAAATAAAAAAGTGAGCCAAATTAACGACCAAACCACAACACCCACCAAAAATGTTTCAGGATAGGTATCAGATAACGTGAACTACGCTATTGTTTGCTAGGGCGCAAAACAACTAATGCCCTTCCTTCACAAATGGACTGTTAACTAACCTGAAAAAATAGCCATTGAACAATGTATAAGCTAGCCTTGGCTTCCTGACAGAATCAATTTTGTTATGAAAAAAATTTTTGGTGAGTAACTGTCCAAAATAACTTTTTTCCTATTCAGGTCATTTCTGTATGTGGTTATCCACACAAAYCTTATGTAGTACACGTCCACAAAATACAAAACATGAGTGCTCACATGGCTTCAGTTAATGAAGAGAGGGATAGTTTTGTCAACAGACACAAAGCATTAATGCCAACTTCCTTCTCCCTTTCTGCTGCAAAAATAAAAAGGGAACTAAAACAGATTTAGAAATATATTGGTCAGTTGGATTAAATCAATGTTTGCTTCACGACTGTGCATAAGTTAAATGGAAGATGTAKAAAGAGAATCTGGGAGATGGTGAGAAAGATCTAAAAGCCAGCTCTCAGAAAATGCTGCTCCCTCATTTCCCAGTTGGTTCTTCTGGAAAKGTTAGGTGGCAGTTTTATATATTATATAAAGCACAATAAACTTTTTTTTTTTTTTAATGGAAATACCCTCTTTTTTTTTCCTACAAGTATCACTATTTCATCTGCGTACCATCTGCAGCCTGTTAATCTCACCTTAAGAGCACCACACAGCTCAACGGTATCTGCATCATCTACTACAGTTATTCGGAAGTTTGGAGTCTGCAGGAGTTCTTTGAAGAGAAGGCCATTTTCCAAGATTTTAGAGCCTGTTGAGAGAGAGAAAGGAAAGTAAAAAAAAAAAAAGAATAATTTATTTGTATGTTATTTAGCCTTTCCAGTGCAAGCCAAACACCTAAGAGCAGAGATAAGGTTGTTCTATCTCAGTCGTAAACACCCCTGTTATAAGGGACCAATCACATGTTGACATTGCACTTAAAAGATCTACACTGAGATACATGGGACTTTTTCATAATTTATTGTGTGCTCAGCAATAGGTTTTAAATAACAATTCCATTCTATATATACTATATACACTATTCCATTCTCTATACACTCTCCATTTTTTGATCATTCCCTTAAAAAAGAAAGCTAATATTAAAACAGAGATGAATTAAGAACATTGCAGGAGCAATTATTCCAAAGTCTGCATTTCAGAAAAATACCTACTGATAAAGGCATGTCAAAGCTGTTTCATTAATTGAGCATGCTGCACYGACAATTGTTTCTAAACACTAAGATGCAGTTCAACCATTCAAAATTGAGTTCAATGCAAAAGCTGTAAATGAGATGTTATGAAGCTAGCAGTGCATAAAACTGTAAATATGAACACTGAAAAAAAGCATAACATGAACTGTGTGCTATAATGTATGAGTACCTGYATGTCTATATACATACACATGCCTTTCTAGAAACTGTAAAATCCAAGACGAGGCACATCTTCATGTGCAAAGGTGTGCAGACATCAGCACAGAGCTAAAACAATTTCTAGCTTTTGGGGGAACAAAGTATTTTGAGAAATTAAAACAAGATATTGATATCTTAAAAAAGCAAATAAAAAAGTCAAACCGAAACAAACGGGCATGAAGGTACCATCTGTGACCACAGCACCTGAGCTGGAGTACAAAGTTTATAATCATTTATCCATATGAAGCCATTCAGACCCCAAAAAAATCTTTAACACATCAATAAAATGAAGCAGTTTGTTATGTGAAGGGTGATAAAATGCTTGTATCTCACATGCTAAGGTTATAACCCTAATAAGAATAGGTAAAATTTGTACTCTTCTCACTCCCTCTACTCCCAGTATTGTCTTAGTTCTTTGGGAAGTGTAAACATTCTAGGAAATTCAACCAACAGCTTCTGATAACAGTCAGCTAATGTTGAAAACAGTGACATTTGAGCTATTTGTGCACCTGTAAGGACAGGAGCATGTTYTAAATATTCTTACAACTTGGAACAGTACCTATTGTGCTTTCACAGAATTTCTCTGCTGCCACCTCATTGGCAATGTTAGCTCCCATCAGCACACTGATGTCTATTCCCATCTTCTCTCGAATAATGTCAGAGATCAGTTTGAGTCCCTCCGGGCCTTCATCTATTCCCTGCAGCCAACATTAAATGGAATTACTAAAAAGTCATTCATTAGGCACAGTAGAGATGCAAGCAGAACACAATTAGTCTTGTCCACGGGTGAGAAGTGAAACAAGGCCTATGCAGACAGAGACTTAAGATGACAGATGTATTACCATGGACACTTCTGCTATTTTGACCTCTACAAGATGTCTCAAAATCATAGGAGGTAGCACCTTAAGATTTAGGACTAAACTCTAAATGATGAAAACAGGTTTTATTCCATCCTCAAGGACCTGATTCTAAGAAGTGCTGAACATTCTGCTTTTTTAGTTCAGAAATCAGCTGCTTATTATAAGTGTATCCTTGATCAATGAAGCATAATCAATCCATCAGTTATGAACTAGGCCTGAACTTGGATTCGAAATTGCAGTAAAACTCACAAAATGGCATTTGAATAATTTGTTTCATTGAGAAGTATCTGAACTGAAATATCAGGGCAGCTTCCCTTACGTATAACACCAACAACAGTTTACTAGTAGAAATACAAATGGAACAATCATTCAAAGGTATTAAGAAAGCTGAACAACTGAGRATAATTTAATTTCTAAGGGTGTTTTAAATCTATATTTATAATGCACTCTTTACAAAAAAGTATGAAAAAAGGGGAAAAAATATGGCTTTAGAAAGAATCACCCCACATATTAATGCTGCAGAGAAGAAGAGTCTGGTACCCTGAATTACCTGAACCAAGAACTCCAAATGAGACCACTTTCTTCACTTAAAAGTAATTTCTCTTAGCCTGCTAAATGCAGAATCCTTTTGAGCTCTAATTACAGGGGTATGGCAGACCAGCGGCTGAAATAGTCATCTTTCCCACAGTAAACTACCTTTTATATAGTACTCTTTTAAATACTGAGGATTTGATACTTTTTGGGTTTGGTAATTTTGAGTTATRACTTGTAGGCAAAAAGTGTGATCCTCTATACTTCCAGACACACACATACACACACACTTGTGTGCTGCCAATGACATTTCAGGCAGGCAGTAATTTGTACTTGTGCAGGTTAAAGGTGCTGCTCCTTAAATAACATAGTGCAATCAAGTGGCATGCAGGAATGCCTGCATAAAACCTGCCAATTAAACCAGGGCTTGCATTTCTGCATCATTTTTCAATCTGTATCGCTCAATGCACAGCTCTGCTTTCTCATCTTTGATGAGCCATACAGAAACAACCTGAAAGCAAGCATGTAACTCATTTTGTATTTTTCCTTCATAGTGCCAAATATATCACCACAAAATAACTGTAAGGCCTCTCTTCCTAAGCAGGCAAATAATAAACAGAAAAGCATRCACTCATTGGGAACAACTCCACAAATGTAAATACCTACACAACAATTACTCATGCAAGTGAAAGGAGACCAGAAAGGCATAGATGCCAAATTTTGCTCCAATGTGAAACAGATGCAACTCCGGACAAAGTCAAGGAGAGCTGTACCTGTTTCTTCTACAGTTAAATCCAATACTGAAGGACAGATGACAGAATAAAAACCAAACATCCCTTCCTCCCTGCAAAACCAAGGCTGCAGCATGGGCATTTTCACTGGGTAGCAATGGTCTGCAGGCAATGCAAGTCTCATTCTGTGACCTTATTGCTTGCATCCTAACATGCCTGTCAGAGCAATCCCTGGGGCCTATAATAGGGAAATGAAAAYGAGACTGATGTCGAGGCTGCCTGAAGAGTATTTTGAATGACTTTCAGCCACTCTGCTTCCTGTGTTCACTGTTGTACTGCACTCTGAGTTTTATAAGGTTCCTCCCCCCACACTCACACAGTCACTTCTCAGGTTTTCATAGACACAGAGCTAATGTAAAGCAACAGATGCAAATGTTTCAATGGAAATGAATATTAACCAGCAGACAAATGTCTTTATTTCCCAAAGACTCAACTTTATTACCAGACCTATTAGGCTCTGCTTGAAGATTAGACTGTCAGAATACTTATTTTCAGTATCACATTTGAACTGGGGAAAGGGAGTTGATCTTTGTATTTTGTTGTCTTGATTATTCCTGTATTCTAATTAAAAAAAAAAAAAAAAAAACCAAGAAAAAAAAGACTAAAAGATGACATACTGCTAACTTGACAAGCAATTTAGACAGTACAGAAACAAGGTATCCCACAAATGGTATTTTTCAAAGTAGAACTGCCCTTTAACTACCAAAGTTAACACAAGCCACTTTAAYAGCATTAGCATTGAGAATGAGACCCAAAAACTCTGACATTGATGAAAACAGCACACCTAAAGAATATGCAAAAGCAGAGGAAAGAATGCATTCYTGCCTCTACTACTTAGTTTCATAGCTGCTTTAAATCTCTACCCTTTCTTCTTGAATGGTACTTCTAATGATGCACAGTTGTGCCTTTTCATAAAAACTGACACATGCTTTGCATTCTCCCACAAATTATTATGAGGCCCCACAGCATTTCTTTGGAAAGACTGCCTWTGGATGCAATGTTACAATGTGACAGTGGGAAGCTGCCTAGTAACCAACCCTGCACAGTATGGCAAGAGTCAGAATTTCACTTCCACTACACTAAGCATGGGCTTTGTTTTGTTAGGGTTTTTTGTTTGTTTGGAGTTTGTTTTTTTTTTTTAAGATAAGTATTTATTCCTCCTTCGTCTCCCCCTCCTTTTTTTTTTTGTCAAACTTAGTCATTAATCAACACTCCATTAGAGCACTGGTAATTAGTACCCTGAACAGTAATTCCAAGAGAATACAGCCCACGACCCTGACTTCACATGCTGACATAAATCCTCATTTAGCCCACTGTTTTCATTACTTATTCCTATCACTAAGAGAATATAAATCACACTTAGCAAAATAAAGGAGAATAAAGTTTATCTTGAGTACTTTTAACAGTGCTTTATTTTAYCCTTCTAGGATATGAAGAGTTTTTCTACAAATTGCAGCAAGACCACTTCTTCATACATCTCAGCAACTCACCAAGTCAGCACTGACAAAACAATAGATTTGATGGACTTTGTTAGCCAAACTAAAAACAAGCTTGCAGAAAGTAGTGACAGGGTTTTTTTTTTCTTTTTTGAGGACAGATCCATAAATGTATCATTTCTCAGAAATGACAGGAAACAAGGGAATGTGTGCTGAGAAAATGGCTATTCTCAACAAAGCAACAACAAGCCAGAATGGGAATAGCTTATTATTCGCAGCTAAACATACAGAGGAAAAAAGCCCACCCACTCAAAAACTATCCCAAAAGTAAGCTAATCTATGTTTTTAAATTCTCCTGCCAACAAAACTACAAACATTCCAGTGAAAAGCCTCTTGCACCTCTGCCTTCTTCTTCTTCCTATGCTCAAACTGTCTTTGAGTGATGCTGAACAGACTCTCTTGTTGCAACATAATATCTGACATGAACAAGAGCGCTATCCTCTTAGTCACATGAAATTCTCTTAGCAGTTCTTGAAATGATCAACTCAGCATGTGGGATGTGCATTAACAATCAAAGCATTATGCTTGTGCTCTGTTCTTCATCTAATGATGCTTTTAGAAACAACAAATAAAAGACTGGAAAGCTTAGTGGGGCAAAACATATTACTTCACTCTTTCTAAAAGTCTTGTGAAGAGCCTCATTTTCCTCTTCCTTCAAGGGCTGYGTAACAATCCACTTATGACTGAGACAAATTCTAATCTTTCACCTAGAAAGGTTTAATGTCCCAATCAAGTGAATAATGCACTGAGACCTTTCAYATCAAACTATCAAGTCACCTTGTCTTAGAAGATTCCATGACTCATTCTCAGTTATTAACACACAGTATTTATTATACCTTTATGAGAGTTATGCCGAGAGCTTTCTTGGGCACTCGTCCTGTGAGTTCATCGCAGACTTTATGAATGAACTGATGAGGAATGACAAAAACCAGYAGGTCTGCATCCTGTACTGCTTCCTTAAGGTTTGGGACAGCAACCTGTGTAGTTATGGGAGAGAAAGGCTGCATAACTTTTCAAAATTAACACTACACATGAGTGTTATCCGATAAAGTAAAAGCAGAATCACAGAATCAATTAGGTTGGAAAAGACCACTGAGATAACTGAGTCCAACCTTGGAATGAACACCACCAATGTCCACGAGACCACGGCACTGAGCGCCACCTCCAGTCTTTCCATAAACAGCTGCAAGGACAGTGATTCCACCACTTCCTTGGGCACCMCATTCTAATATTTAGTCACTCTTTCTGTGAAAAAATTCTTCCTAAYGCCCAACTTGAACCTCCCTAGTTTGATCTTGAACCTGAACCCCAGTAGTTTGGTCTTATGCTGAATGCTACAAACTACAACATTTCATGAAAATAAACAACAGCATAAACTTCTCAGACCAACAGAACAGCTCTATTCCAAAGTTAAGGCAAATTTTTTTTTAATGGGTTTAGTCAAAGCTGTTAATTTTGCTCATTTTCACATTTGCTTTCTTATATGGAAGTAGAAGTAGCATAAAGACAATAATAAGACAAAAAAAAGTGCATTGGACTTAATTAACTGCGTAATTACATAATTATATTTCTTCTAATCTCTGATGACATCAGTAAAATAGCATACAGTCTGAAATATTATAAATCCTAAATGTGTTAAAAAAACAGATTTCTAACTCCATTCACAGCACAAACAATATTCCCTCTGCTCCATAACTATAATTTAGCTTCTGAGCCTTACCACATTTTCTGGCAGCTTGTATCCAGGGAGATACTTTACATTTTCATGGTCTTTATTTATGATATCTGTCAGTTTTCTCCCATTAATATTCTCCTCGAAGACCCACATCTTCACTGTGGAAGCAAACTTCTGCAAGTTTTTTACATTATTACCTATTATTCTGGCAACCGCAGAACCCCTGCATGAAAGAAAACAAAAATAATATTAAAAAATTGTATTTTTGCTGTAGAAAAACAGAGATTGTCTTCAAAACAATCACAAATTCACAGGTTATTTGACAAGTTACCATACAGTATTTTTGATTTAGTAAAATAATTGGATAAAAACACTAGTCATTCAGACCTGCTGCTTTCTCTCAACTATAGCTAGAGTAGGTTGGACTGAAGCATTTACTGAAAACATCCTTATTTATTTTGTCTTCTTATTGGCCATCCACTGAGAATTTAGGTTACTGTATTTCCCTGAATCAAATTGATTGTATCGTCAAAGCAGAGGTAAAAGTGACATACTAAATATTGTTAAGTGGGTCATTTTCACCTTTAAGAGATGAGAAGCTTCTTTGCTGAGATGGCTGACTCATCAATTGTTGTACAATACTGATAGGCATTGAAAGCCAAGAATTTTTTATATGTTGCAGAAGTCATAAKCTTTATGGTTGTGCAGCCAACCTCAGCGAAATTAACAACTGCAACAGCATCCTCTGAATTTGGAGGCAGACAAGTCCATTACGGTTACCCTAATATTCTCCCCAAGAAMAGCACACAGTGAGATCTATATTATGGTGATCAATTTTACTTCTCAAATCTCCAAGCAATAATGAAATTAATTACAAGAGGAGGAACAAACAGAATCTTCCCTTTCATCATGCCATTAAACCTATTTACCTGGTATAGCAGGTAGCTTCATAATTACTGATAACCTACTAAAGAGACACAAAAAAAAATTTTAAGGCATGAGATAAAAATAAGTCATTGATCTGAGCTGTATGTGTCTGCGCGTGTGTAAACTGCACACTTTATTAGGAGGYAAAATCACTGACTTTTCTAATCCAGTTATACTCACACAATCCCCTAAATTTATATTWGACATTGCTTGTAATAAACCCATAGCTGGCAACTAAACAAAATGGACTSATTCAGCTTCAAGAGCTTTTGATATGGCACAACTCATTGTGCTGTATTAAAGATGTGCACATGGCTAAGGTCACTTTCTAAGTAGTGGCAGAAAAAAATTTAGTATCCTAAGTAGATCTTTTATAGGTAAACCATAAACTGCATGTYTTAAAAGACTGGAATTTACTTATCTAATAGCACTTCACACACAAAAAATGCTCCTGGGTTCAAGAGGTGATGCAGGAGACAATTTTAAGCCATCTCTTATCAAGCTCATACAGCACAGTTTCTGCTGCACCGGTATACAGCTCACCAGCTCAGCCTCCGAATGTCAAATCTGTACAAAAAGCAGGCCCCACATTCAACACAACACAGGTATGTGTTCCTCAGACATGGCTTTGGGTCATCTGAACAAAGCAAATTTACTACTACAGATTTACATACAAAGTCAGGATCCTGGCAAAACCACTGCCTTCTGTTTTCAACTTCACTACACATTCTCTGTGCTTGCTGGTGACAATGCAAGACAGAAATAACTGATTCAGCAACTCTCCGACTGGGATTTTTAGTCTGCCAGCAGAAGTCTGGCAGTGTGTACTACTTAAGTGAGACATTAATTCCATCACTATTTAATACTTAAATGCCTGAATTGTCTTTTTTTTTTAATTCCATCCTTTGAATGCAGTATTAAAAAAGGTGAAGATCTGACTAATCTTAGTTTCTGAATTCAAGAAGCTTCTCCTGATTGGCTTCTCCAGTTCCTCATTTTCTGTGATGTTGCAACCACTCTTTTAGGACCATTTCACAATTGATCTGCTTTCCCCCTCATCACTTTTTAACAAAAGCACAAAGGCAAAAAACTCCTTAACTTGCCCTGATAAGAGCAGCAGTGGAGGTTACAATATGCAAGTGCAAATKATATGGTTATCGAACTCTACCACTGTCCCTGTAAAATCACCTCAGYTAAGCCACAGTTCCTCCCAGTTTCCCACAGCAAGCTCCTAGCTGCACGAACCTCTCTGTCTAGTAACTTCCCATTTCTTCCCAAATTTTACAGTTTCTGTTCAAGTTTGGCAATCAGGTTAATTAACAACCRGTTTCAAGAAAACAGAAAGGGGCAAATTCTGGATGTGCACACCTCATTAACCTGCCCTGCAAGTGTTATCAGAAGAACAGGCTGCAGAACATGACCAAGGCAGTGCTTGCAGTGCTTTAAATGTCTCTGGGCCCTGTCCTGGAATCCCCCGGCTCCAAGGCATATTMCCAAGGTGTACCCTCTCCACATTCAAGACAGCTTACTTTAGCCCCTATCTCAAAAGATCCTAACACAATCACTTAKCCACTGGCTGAGCAACCCTAAAAGGGCAAGGCCAGCAAACACCACAGCTCCTACCCTTCCGTGCTGAGTCATCTGTCTTGTCCCATGATCTTCCATCAGGCGTCAAGTGACCCCTGCCAAGTCAACTGCATTGTTAAGGTGACCTTCCTATAGCAAACCAACCAAACAAGTCTGACTGGAAGTAGTTAATCAACAAAGGGGACTGGCTTAACCCTTCTAAAGTTACTGTCCTGCCAAGCTCCTTTAGGTTTTTTCCATCCSAGATACAGGTGTAAGAGAATATATAGCTATGAGAAGGCAAAGACCTGTCTGACAGAATCATCTCACACAGAACCCCAAAACCCACTGTCCATGAACTGCTCAGCATGCCAAACGCCACTCCGATCAACTGCTTACATGCTTACAATTTAGGCACCATCAATCATACATTCCTATAACTCAGGCTTCAAAAATATATAATCCTCATATATCAATGAGGAGATGTTTATAAATGCTTCAATTTCTAGTTACCTGCTTTAATGCATTAAATACTAATACTTTAATTAAATAATTTAGGACCATAGGCCCCAGTTCAAAAAGGCACTTACAAGGTACAGAAATTCAGTCCAATTTATTTCAATGGTTACACATAGTACTGAATCACAGTGCTCTTTGCAGTCAGGGTTTGGTGTCTGTCATCCCTTGGACTTTGAGGAAGAAACCACCTACCTCTCCAAGAATTACTGTTTTCAATTTTTGATTACTTTGGTTTCTGCTTTCCTGACACGAAAAACCCTGTCAATACATATGAAAGAAGCTATAAGTTATTTAAATACATTTATTCCCAAAAGAAAGAGAGAATGCTATTACCAGGCATCAGCTTTTCTTCTTTSTCTCAGCATAGAGAGAGCATATGGGCATTTTGCCACCAACTCATCCTATTAGGCAGGAGCTATTCTTATTTATTAAACTGATTCAGTGAGGTGAAAACAAAATACATTTGTATGTGGTTATTGCTAGTAAGCAGTATCTACAAATCCTTTTGCTTCTGTAAGAGTTTCACAGTGAATCAAACATAAATGCAGTCAAACTTCCTAAAACTTTTTCTGATTTCAAGTATGGAACAACGGCCACACACTCCTAAAAGATGAGGTCTCACTGSATAATTTCCTTCTGACATATAGTGCAATGCACAGTATCTCTCTGTTGGTCTTACAAGCTAGTGCAAGGAAAGCAGGAGATGCTGCACTGAAATGATGGTCATTCCATCAACAAGACGTCACAAAGAAAAATAAAACTTGGCAGCTGCTGATATTTTTAACAGCAGCAAAAGCCAACTGCATGGAGTGGGCAGGGGGTGAGCAACAAGTCCAAGAACATYCTGACAAAAGACWGGCAAATTTAATAAAACACAGTAMCTTGCTCTACACCGAACTYCTGAGTTTAACATCTTAAAACCCAMTGTTATCAGAAYAATGTGTGCTTAGCATTAGYAACTGGAAGTGACAGACTCTGAAGATATATTTCTATAACACRTTGTACTTAATTTACTCACTGTAAAGAGGGACCTGGTGTAAGAAYGGTGATCAGGAATGGTAGGGAAATRGGTAAAGCCAAAGAAAAAGGTAAAGAAGACAAAGGGTTATTAACATGATGCTCCTCTTGAAGAATGACCTGAAGTAAGTTTGYTGATTTCAGTGGTTCCAGAAGCAAGTTTATTTAAATCTAATTATAAACAAGAGATAGAGGCAGCAACAAAACCTTATCTTAAGCTCTCAATGTGTCTCAACATTATCTGTTGGCGAAAAAAAAAAAAAGAGAAGGTATTTCAAATAAACTAGCATCTCGCAATTCTTCTTTGAACTGTCTTGGAAAATAGGCACACAGTTACACAGAAAACCCCAAACAACACTTGTGTAGACAAGTGAGGTTGTTAGTGAAGCTCTACACGCAGGGCGTAGTTAGAAAAAKAATTTTAAAAATGTACAGCATCTTTAATGTCTACGTCATCTGACACAGGACAAAGCACACAACAAATACCAGGTTAAAAATATCCTAAACCAACAACTTCGCAGAACACGCGGGTGTTTAGAACTGGGTGCTCCACTCTGCCGCTTCTTCCACTGAGCACGCCAGGGCAGCACCGCCGCTCCGAGGGAGCCGGGGACAGGACGAGCCCCCCGGCACGGCAGGACGAGCCCTCCCGCACGGAACAACCGCGCCCCAGAGCCCGCCACAGCCCGGCGACACCGTGCTGGCGGTTCCAGCCCGCCCCGGGTGGCCTCACGGCCGCCACCCCGCAGAGGAGCGCGGCCACGGCGCCGGGCGGGAAGGGACAGCAAGGCCCGGGCGGGCACAGCCCCCGGGAAGGCCGGGCCGCCGCGGCCGCCGAGGTGCCCGCCCTGCCTGGGGCCGCCGCACTCACCAGTTGCCCGAGCCCACGATGCAGACCTTGAGGGGCGCAGAGGAGAGCGCCATGGCAGCACCGCCCGCGCCCCGCCAGCGGCCAAGAGCTCGGCGAGGCCGCCGCCCCCTGCTCCCGCCTCCGCCGTCAGGGCAKCATCGCCCGCTTCTCCTCCGCCCTGCTGGGTGACGGGAACTGTAGTTCCTTCCCCGCCCGCCGGATCTGCCGAGGGCGGGAGGATTGCCGGCGAGGATTAGCCTAAATGGAGCCCTCGGGGGAAACAGGCAATCCCGCAGGCACTGGGCCGTAACACAGAATTACAGAACCATTTCGGTTCGAAAAGACTCTTGGGATCATCGAATCCAACCTGCGACCGAACACCACCATGTCTGCAAGACCATGGCACTGACATGCCACAGGGCACTGACATGCCACATCCAGTCGTTCCTTAAACACCTGCGGGGACGGTGACTCCACCGCCCCCCCGGGCAACCCATTCCAATGTCTAATCACCTTTTCTGTGAAGAAATTCTTCCTAATGTCCAACCTGAACCTCACCTGGAGCAGCTTAATACTGTCCTCTTGTTCCTTCACTTGTTACTTGGGAGAAGTGGCTGATKCCCACCTGGCTGGACTCTCCTTTCAGGCAGTTCTAGAGAGCAATAAAGTCTCCCCTGAGCCTCTTCTTCTCCAGCCTGAACAAGCCCAGCTCCCTCAGCCACTCCTCATAGGACTTGTGCTCCAGGCTCTTCACCAGCTCTGTTCCCCTTCTCTGGACTCCCTCCAGCACCTCAATGTCCTTCCTGAACTTAGGAGCCCAGATCTGGACACAGCATTCAAGTTGTGGCCTCACCAGTGATAACTGTGAGGAAAGAATCCTCATTGTCTCCATTTTCTGCGGAACTAAAACCATATGTTTCAGTCATCCATATAATAAAAAAAAAACTTCTGCTCTCTCCTAGGGCTCTGTAGCTTTCGAGTAAGTCTGTGAAAGCACCCAGGTGTGGAGGAACTGATGTATCAGGTAATAAAGCAAGTTAGACCTGGAGGGATCTTAACAACAGAAATACGAGTATTTTCAAATACCTCTTTCCCCTCAGCCTTCAGCCAAAATCATGTTGTTCTCCACCGCCCATGCTTCTCCAGGGGAAAGAAAAAGTGGATGAGTTTTTGGTCTGATAGATGTGTTTGAATCATCTGTGATAAACTTTTCCATCACATGTGTATTTCTACTGACACTTTTAGCTGTATTTAATAATAAATTATTAAGGAGAGACTGGGAAGAGATCTCATCGTGGTCTGCAGCTTCCTCGGGAGGGGAAGTGGAGAGGCARGAATTGATCTCTGATGACCAGTGATAGGACCCAAGGGAACAGCAGGAAGCTGTTGTGGGGAGTTACATGGGAGATTAGGAAGAGGGTTTTCACCCGGTGTGGTTGGGCACTGGAACAGGCTTGTCAGGGAAGTGTCACAGCATCAAGCCAAGCAGAGTTCAAGGAGCATTTGGACAACACACATGGTGTGATTCTTGGGGCTGTCCAGCACAGGGCAGGAGCTGGACTTCGATGATCATAGTGAGTCCCTTTTATGATTTTATGGCAATGCTCTTGTCCCTGTACCAGTGCCCCWCTCTCTTTATTAAAATCAACCATATATCAAGGCATTGCCCTTTTGAGTTTTTCATTACAGTACATTTCTTGTCTTGTACCTCTTCCAAATGGCTTGCTAAGTGTTAGATGTCGATGAAATGCTCTTTCAGTTWGAGGCTATATGAGAAGAAAAGCTGGATCAGTTCTGTTGCATTTTAGATTATCGTAGCTGAAGCAGTGTGAACTGCTACCTGGTGTTTTCAGTTTAAAAGCAGKGTTTTAATTTACTCCACTGCCAGTTTGCTATCAAACTATACCAGAAGGGAAAAAAGCCCCAAAACAACGACCAAAACCAAGAAAACATGCACAAATCCAATCTGCTTGCTCTAATGTCTTTATTTCTACTGCTAGCGCTTCCTAATGTGGAGAAAGCCCTCATGTTTTTGTTTGAATCCAGTGAGGGAATGTTTTGCTAATGCTTGCTTTAAATATTCAGAGACCRGGGTTGATAATATCTACTCTAGGTTTTGAGGGATTTGGGAAGGGGTAGTCCTGTAAAATTGAGYAGTAAGTGACTGGAAGCTAAATACTTAATTAAACAGGGAACTCAATATTATGCAAAATGGATATCCTTAATATGAGCACTTCAGGATCATATTGACAATCTGGACAGAAAGGGTAAAGTCTTTATTAGACTAAATAGAAGATAGAAAACAAATACRGTTAAATTATAATTTCTATAGATTTTTCTCATAAAGCTGACAGTTCTTCATCAGTCTAGAAGGCTATGGTCCCTCAGTCTGCAGCATATTATGTGTGTGYACTTCTGTGTTTTACATAGAATTGTCATTGTCTCACTGGCAGCCTGCAACCTGAAATTTAACATACRTTTACACCATTAACTAAACTGCACTCTACTTAAACATATCAAATTCACACAAACTTGAAAAACAGCCAAAATAAAAACACACGCTCATCTTGAAGAATCCTCAGATTCTTCAGTACTGTACAGTACAGAAGCGCATCATGCAGGCCTACCATACCACTTTAAATTTTACTGAGTAGAATAAAATAAAATGGACTATTTCAGCTGGAAGGGAMCTACAACAACCATCTAGTCCAACTGCCTGATGAATTTAKGGCTGATTAATTTAAACTCTTCTGAAGTAAGAAGTGTCCAATTCTTTAAATAAAAATATTGCAGACAATGGATAAGAAAGGGCAAGAAAGAACTGTTCAACTGTTAAAACGAGTGCTACCAGATCATTAATGTTAGGAAGAATACAAGATTTTCTTTTATGCCTCATCTGCAGACTGAGATGTGTTTATGCAATTTAGTTGTACTGACTGAAGGTACTGTCCTCTTATCCTAGCAGGCCAAACTGACCCCAGCTGGAGATTTTAATCTTTTTCTCAAGGTTGGCGGTAGAAATTACATGTCAGTGGCTTGAGTTTGGAGTCTGACATCTTACCTCAAATTGCTAGTGAGGAGGGTCAGGAGCAAAGGCAATCTGAAAGGTAATCTCAGGGAAACCAAACCTACAGCATCTTTCATAAAAAAACCCACATCCTGATGGTATAGCTGTGACAGTCCAGGTATAATCAACAAATTCAAGTCACACTCATACCCATATTCTGTTCTCCTTATAGCGTAACCAGTCAAAGTGAAGTGACCGACAGCTGGGTTCTAATAGATCAAGTCAAACAACTGTTTGCCTGAATTATGGCTTTTAAGGCCTTCAGATTCTGGCCTTTGCATGGAAGCAGCTGCAGCATGAGCATATGTTCCCTTATGCTCGCTTTGCTATGGCAACAGTATGAGCTCCTCTGACAGGTGAAGCAGGCAACTGAGTTTATTGAACCACCACTAAGATTTGATAGATTTAGTCTGTCAACACCCCAGAAGACTAAGTCAACATTAATTTTATTTAGTGCATATCAGAAAGCAGCTAGTTTGGTACCCATAATTCCATTAAAGAAGAAAGTAAAAAAGGAAGGGAGTTTGTTGACATAAAAATACATTTTGGATAGGGTAGAAAGTAATGCACAATTGTATCACTGTTCTTATTTTCATGTTTTCCTCTATATCTAAGTGGCTTGTTGGTCCAATGTCAATAGAAATCTATTTCTTTTCTTCAGTCATCCTTCATTTGACTTTACACACGGTGATGATGCAACCATTAAGAAGAAAAAAAGCAACTCATGAAAGGGCRGTAGTATAAAGCTCTAGCTGCATATAGGCAGAGTCTCTGTTCTTACAGCTTAATGTATTGATCTGTTTTMATTATTCTAGATATTGCTGGGATGTGTGTTCTTCTTTTTGTAAGGAGTTCTTTATYTGTCTGATGTTCCAAGTATTTGTTGAAACCTAACAAGCTCATTTCAAAACTCAGCACCCAGAGAAAATAAGGTACATCACTGCTAATCTGATTAGTCCTGATTACCTACTTGGAAATTTTCCCTTTAATAGGCTGATTTTATTGTTGAATATATGATAAAAAAGGTTTTTTTTAGGATATAAATAAATGCATTAAATACCAGTCTTCTTTTAGTTTATTCTTAATGTTCTGCACAAAAKATAAGAATCTGAGTTATATGTTATTAGATAATTATTTCACCAGAACATATTAACATCTTGAAATACATTTTGAATCATTTTAAATTCTGCTGATTTTCTAGGACTTTCTTTTACATACGTGCGGTTGTGAATGTGTGGGACTTGAAAAATTCTGTACCTTCTTTAGTACTATAAACCCCTGTCCATGATATGGATTAGGCAGTGTAGCTCAGCGTCTCTGAGTAGGTGACTTCAAGGATAAGCTGATTAAGATATAGTAATTAATACTTTCTTAAGACACCTCAGTTTCCAAAGGATCTCAAATACWGACATGAGGATGAGGTCCTGCCTATATTAAACAAACGTAGATGTAACTGAACAATAGAATTAAAAAAATCCCAGTCCTTGCCTCTTTTGAAGGTGTACAGAATGAGAAGGGGTTAGGTTTGACTTTTAGTTTTTGGGATTTTATGCCAGTCACTGGGTAACTTTGAGGGCCTGCATAAAGAAATGTGCATGAAGGCCAGGAAATGCTAAGAAGCACAAACATTTTACCTTCCCTCTCCTTCACCTCCACTCCCAGTTCATCCTTTCTTCTCATAACCTGTTTTCCCATCTCTTATCTGTGCTTATTTTGTCAGTTCTCTACAACTTTATTCAAATGTTTCTTTCAAGTCCTGTTCTATTTTGACTGACTAATCTGCATTTTTGAGGATAAAAAATTAATGAAGAAAGGAAGGTGATATGTAGGTTAAAAGCCATTTTGCTTTTCCTTACATTGAGGGAAATGTGCTTACTTTATACTTAGAGAACTACCCACCCCATGTAAGCTTGACAAGCACCTTCAAAATAAGTCAGTCTTTCAAACTGATCATACCTCTATTCTCAAAGAAGAAAGAATGTTTTCAGCTTTATCATATTGCATTTTGGCAGGTCTTACAAGATAAGTAGAATTTTAATCTAGCTGTGAACCTGGGTCAAGCACAGATAATAAAGCTTAATAAAYAAGGAGAAATCT